TCCTGTCCTGCAAATTCTTGCTCAGTGAACAGGCACTGAAACTTGAAGAAATGCATTTATGTCAGGTACCTTATCCGTGTGACCAACTGTGTGATCTGTAGAATAAAGAACAAAAGGTTTTTTTATAGGATATAGCATCTGCAGCAAGGAGATACATATATTTCAGCTTAGAATTAAAAAAAAGAGCTTCACAGGAAGATTCTGTATTATGTCTGTTTCTCTGCTTTTAGCTAGAACACTTGGTTGTCAGCACTTTGTAGCATGTGACAAAGCCCAGTACTGATTTCCCCTACTACCTTCAAATGATGAAGTAACACCTTACTGTGATGTTACAGCGAAGCCTGGGTCCTGTGGCTGACAGCAGTCGCTCAGCTTCTGATGGGCCAGACTCTCATCAGTATTTCCCACGTGTGCTGTTCTTTTCATTATATGAGTTCTCGGGGTCAAAGATGCACAGTGACGAAAGTATTTCCTCCTGTGTGCAAGTTGAACACTAATCCATTCCATTTTCCTATTTCTATTGTGTATCTCAAAATTGTATATAAATCATGAACTAGGCTTTACCAAGCCTTTGCTTTAAAAACGCATGTCGTTAGGGATTTCCAGTTTTGCCCTTGAAATGCAGACCTGTATGAAGTGGAACAAATTTACTTTGCAACAAGCAAGTAACCTTATGTAAATTGGTTGTTCAGAAGATGCAGAATTCAGATGAAAGGCTTGTTGCACTGTATGGTTTTGGAAGTGAAGTTTGACTAGGGCAGTGAGGCAAATACGCTCACGGCAAGGTTAGCCTAGGTCATGACCATTACACCCTTTGCATGCTGATGAAGGAAAAGGAGGGATCGTGTAGAGGATCCATTACAGGAAAGATTGAGGAAGACTGCTTTCATAAAAAAGCTTTAGAATGCCCTGGCAACAGATTACAAGTCTTGACTTCTGTGTTTCTGAAAACTGAGCTCATCCAATTGAGAAACAGACACTGCAGTGCCCTCCTCAGAAGGAAACTTTCAGGCAGAATCCAGAAGTCATTGATGTCTGGATGCGGCTTTTTCATGCGGGATTCACCCTACTTAAGAAAAAGTTACTAGGCCAGACTGCCAACACATGCTGAAAGTTCAGTGAAGTTACTATAAGAATTAATTTTGGTTAGAGTAGCTGTCATCCTGAAGAAGGCCTGCCAGCCAGGATCATGTACCTGAAGTCTTAAAATGAGTGTCATCTCCATCATGTTTTTTGACTTGTGTAATAACATGTTGAAATTTGTGGAAATGCTTTGTTGGAGTAAAAGGGAGTGGTCCGTATTTTACTGGAGGGCAGGTTTTAGCCACAGCTGTCACTTGTTGGTTTGTCCACCTGCTTTGCAAGTAGCTTTAAGAAAAAAAGACACTTCAGTTTGGGTGCAGCTATTCTATTTTCATGAGCTGTCTTATGTAAATATTTATTAGCTACTTCTGCCATTTCAGGTGTCACAGTGAGACTCATTCTGTATCTGCTCTATTCAAATTGTAAATCATTAATGCAAAGGAAAGTTTCTTGCTCTTAATAAAAAAAGTCCAGCTTACCTCTCCATACTCGGTCAGGTCCTTGAAACAGGTCTTTCAGTCCCAACACTAAAGGGGACGTTAGAGGTAGCTATGATAACCTAGGTGTTGGGGAAGCTGGAAACTACAGAGGGTGAGTTGGCACTCTTAAGGACCAATTTATAGATGTGGTTAACTTTTTTTTTGGAAATGCATGCCCTCTGAAAGCCAGTTGGGAAAAGCTAGAGTCCTATTACGTGCTGCTGTCCTGCCTCCATCTCTGAGGAGGAGCACGTGGGTCTCTGTAATGCCCATGATAATGTATCACTGTCAAGGAAGTTTTATGATGGCAGACTATACAGATGCTTGCAGTGAAAGATACAAAATTATTTCAGTGATGGATGTTAGATCTATTGGTAACATTTTCCACTTGTGCGGGATGTTTTTGTAGGTGATGCTTTGTTCCCAGCTTTCTAAACCGTGAGCCTATGCCACAGAAGCTGCGGTGGTCTTTTTCTCTGTTGGGAACGAGTAGTTAGCATAGTAAGCAGGCATGAGAGTCGCAGCCTGGTGGTTAGTTTTGGAGATGCATGAGCAGAATTGGCCAGCTAGTTTTTGCTCAAATTCTTGTGTCAGGAAAAATCAAGTCTGAAGTGATTTGCTTGGAAAAGCAATGGGCATTGCGCAACTCACTGGGAATTCAGGCACAGACCAACCACAAACACCTTGCGGTGAAACATAGCCCTCAAAACTGCTGGGCACACATGTAAGCAGAATTTTTGACTGCTAAAACCCCCTGAAAACTAGGTTTTGCACCAGTGCAGTCCCGTAGGTACATGACTGCTGCAGATTCACTTCAAGAGTGTTTGACAGTTCAGCCCTTTCACTGCAAGTGCTCAGAAGCAGCAACACAGGAGGCATTGTCCACTTGCAAATAGTGCTTTTAGCTGCTTCATAGATCAGATGAAACAGTAATAGTTATTAAAGAAACTTAATCCAGGTGACTGCTGTTGTGTGATAAATGATCTCCTGTGATACATATTTATCATTCTTGACTTTCAAATTCCAGGTGAAATCAGAGTATCTTCAGAATTCTTGTCCTGAATAAGTAACTTACATATACATGGTTTGCTGTCCTACTGCAGTAACTCTTGTCAGCTTAGTCAAAAGCCAATTAAAGTTAAGTAGAGAATAGTTTTGAACAAGAAATCTTAATCTCTTTTTTTTTTTAAATCCTGGAACTCCCAGTGGTTGAAAGGGCCTTAGATTCATTGTTGTACAGTTTTCATTTGGGATGAGGTATTTTCATGACTTGTTCTGTGACTGAAATACCTTTAAAGTCATTCAGGAAAGTCTGCTTGCCTCAAATGATAGCAGTTTAAAAAAAAAAAAAAAAACAACTTTAAAGGAAATTGTGAAAGATCAAATGCTAAAGAAAACATCTCAAATTCCAAGCCAACAAAGACTGAACCAGTTGAAATTTCCTGGCTTCAGATATCATGTGCTAACTTTACTTTGGTAATTTAGCAAATCTGCTTTCTCCTTGAAAGACCTTTTCTGGACCTTAAATCAAAGGCCTCCCCAAAAGTTCTTGAGAGAAGTTTTCATTCCATTTACTTCAGAAGAGTGCCTTGCATCTGCCAAGTGCATGGGTTTAGATGGGACTTCTGTGACAGTCACTTACTTATTTGATTTTATACTCACTCTGCAGCCTGGTGCTGATCCAGAGCAGAGTGATGCTCCTGTGGGTGAAAAACCTCTTCAATGAATTGCAGACCTGAAACATCAGTGTAACTGAAAGCAAGATATATTGAGGTGGTGGGGTGGGACTGAGCAGTCAGGAACAGAGCATAGTTTTGAAGTGCTGCCTCTAAACCATCTTGGTAGTAGTGAAATGATACCATTTGAGTTTATAGCAAGCCTGTCTGTTTATTAGACCTTCAGACAGGCAGAGATAGCAGTTGTGGCATTACAGATGTAGTGAGTAAGGGTACAGGGAAAGCATTGGGGACAGATAACATCTGCATTTTTGGTACAAGATACCTAATTTTTCCAACTACAAGTTGCTGCACTTGTCACATAGGTCTGCATTAATTCTTGTTGTGTCCATTTTGTTAGTTTGCCCTGAAGAGTGAAATACATGTTGACGCTGTACTGAAATACTGATACTATTAGCTGGCATAGTGTGGACAGAAGTGAAATGGGACTGGTCAAACATCAGAGTCCAAGCTCTTTGCAAACTGAGGTAGCTGTCATTGTATGTGAAGCAGGAACTAACCTGTGTTGACACTTTTTTAACCACAGGATATACTTAATCCATCTTTAACCTGGTAGTCTTATTTTAATGCTAAACTTGACACAATCTAATCCGTATTGCATTTTTACTTTTACTTTTCCAGAATCTATTACAAAAGAAGTTGATGATGACGGTGATGAGGATGATGAAGATGACGAAGATGATGATGATGATTCTGAAGTTAAAGAAGAAAATGGTGTATTAGTCTTGAATGATGCAAACTTTGATACCTTTACTGCAGACAAGGACACTGTGCTGCTGGAGTTCTATGCACCATGGTGGGTTCACAGCCTGCAGTACCTCCTTAGGTGCAGGATGGGGTGGCTGTCAGAGGCTTCTCTGACAGGACACACTCCTAAAAAGTGAGCTTGGGTTGCAATTTTAAAGATGATGTAAGAGTAGCTTGCCTGCAGGAAAAGCACTGGACTCTGCCATAGTCCAGGGTGGGGGGTGGTTCTGGTGGTGGGAGATACCCTTTTCGCTGCCCCTGTACCATGCGACAGACAACAGCCTGTTCTTTCTCTACAGATGTGGGTCATGCTGAGGGATCGCATGCCAAGGGAAGCACAGCCCTCGTTCCATCCCTGCTCTGTGCCTGTCAGGGAACAGAGATGGCCCCAGTGAGCCCCAGAAAAGTCATGCAGTGTGGTCTCGCAGCCTGCTATTGTGTCCTTTTGCTGGCCCACTGACAACTTGTGCAGTTGCTCATCTGGATGGAGGAATGGAGGAGGCTTCCCTAGCAGGGGAATTGTTAGAAGGTTTTCCTTCTGAAGTTCAAATCTTTGTCCTTGCCAGAAGGGTGTGGTGTGAGTAAGGACATAGCTTGTTTGTATTACCAATTTAAACAGTGCCTAATGATGATAATTCTGCTGGCATATCAGGGTACACAGAGTAACACCAGTGTGCTCAGGGGAGCTACAATGGATTTACCCGCATAGAACTGAAACAAAGAATTTAGGTCAGAATGTATCTTCTCTTGCATTCTTATGGACAAAAATAATAGGGATGGTTAGCGGGGAAAAACAAGAGTAGAATGTATTTGCAGTCAAGTTGCTGAGTTAGTGTTGCAGCCGGAACCTCTCTTCCTTTGTGGCTTAGTGATATAAAGATGACTTACTCGTTTGTCCTTTTCTAGTCTTTGAATAGAAGGGAGAATATGATCTTGCTTGAGGTGAAGTTGCATTTTAACTAATGCCACTCTTATTACAGAGAATCCCATCCCTGCTTGGCTGTAGGTACTATTTCTGCAGCTGTAGTTTGCCTGCGTGAAAACTGAATGTGAAGCTTCATTTATCCAAGCAGAAGGATGTGTGGTCATCACAGACTAAACACCTCTTTTCTTTTTTCTAATCCCCCTCCTGCCAGTTGAGAGGCTAAGGAGTACAGGCTGTCTGCTACACACAACTTTCCCTCTTTTTTTCTCTTCATTTTCCTGGTTTTATCTTCAGCTCATCAAGCTATATTCAGCTTTTCTTATGCTGGTATCCTCTGTCATGCCAGCTTTTGCATCAGGAGCCTCTGTTCTTACCAAAGAGTTCTGGTGTGACCAGAGAGAGAGCAGGTGCTGTGATACTGTGGTGGGTGTGAGATTTCATGAGGCCAACTTAAGTACTGGTTCATTTTTCCCTTTAGATCAGTTTAGAGTGCTGGCTAGATTAGGGAGAAGCTGGTCTGAGTGAGACCGTGTCTGGGGGGGACAGGGAGGAAGGAGAAGCATGGTACAAGGTTTGCAATTTTGTTTTAAAAGGAATTGTTAATTTTTTTTACAATGGCTTTATAAAACATATGGAAATGTGTGGACTTTTGAATGGGGAAAAAAAAAGTTGGGATTTGAACAAACAGCATATTAGCTACAGTTACTCTCTACCTCTCCATGATCTGACAATATAGCAAGACAAACATTCTTGTGCTGATATTGTGAACATCTGTCAGAAGGCGTCCTGGAAATGCAGAATACCAACACACCCTTGCGGGTCTGTCGTACATTTATGTGTATCTACTTGTGTCTTCCTCTGACAGGTGCGGGCATTGCAAGCAGTTTGCTCCTGAATATGAAAAGATAGCCAAAACTCTAAAGGAAAATGACCCTCCTATTCCAGTTGCCAAAGTAGATGCTACTGCAGCCACTTCACTAGCAAGTCGTTTTGACGTCAGTGGCTACCCAACCATCAAAATCCTGAAAAAAGGCCAACCTGTTGACTATGATGGTTCTCGGACAGAAGATGGTAAGCACCAGATCCTTTGCAATTCTCTGTAAGAAAGCAAAGAAGTATACAGTCATGCTTCTTAATGACTATTTTGAAGGGCTTTGATCTCCAGTTACTTTATCTTAAGCAGAATAATATTATGAAGGCTGAAATTTTGCCTGTCTTCTCAACTGGCTGCATGCTAGAGGACAATTTTGCAGGTAGTGGGTAGTGTTGTTACTGATGGAAGGTTTCTAGAAATATGATTTGACTAGAAGAGGAGGTAGTCTCATGCTTGCTGAAGGATCAGCTAATAAGAAACATCTGATCTGTATAGTGACTGGGTATAAAACCACTTGTTTCTTGCTTAATGTGTCCAACTTCAGTCAGAGGGGGAAAACTATCTTTTCTGTCTGTTTTGAGATGGAAAACATGTGCTACAGTGCTGCAAAGTACAGATCTGTGCTCTGCATAAGTAAAATGTTCTGTGGGGTTAAGGGAAGACCTTGGCAATACCAACAACGAAGTAAAGCATAAAGAAGCATGATTAAGAAAGTGTTCTTGTGTAAGCTTCACATGTAAGCTTTGGTCCAAGACCATGCTTGCCACTCTGATTTTAAATTCTTGATATCAACTCTTGCATTTGATATGCTACTCTGGTATGATAATGCAAACTTGCTAATTGGACTGTTGAACTGTTTCAGCAATTGTGGCCAAAGTCAAGGAGGTTTCTGACCCCAATTGGACCCCTCCACCAGAAGCTACCCTGGTATTGACCCAGGATAATTTTGATGACGTCGTGAATGGTGCTGACATAATCCTGGTGGAGTTCTATGCTCCATGGTAAGCGAGAAGACAGTCACCTGTACTTTCCTAGCACAGCTGGCCTGAACATGCTTGGTGAACCTGTTTTCTGTTGGTATGCCTCTTTTAAAGAGGCTTGCCTTGTGCAGGTGTGTGTAGCTCTGGTGTACCTTAGTTCTAATCTGGACCTAGGATCACATTACAAATCACTTGATGACTAGACTGGATCTGTCTCTGCAAGGGGTGGTCTCCAAAACTTCACTGAAGATTCTCCTTATTTACTAATTTGGGAATACGTTGAGAGATACCGAAAACCAAAGGGAGTCGGTCCTTAGTTTAAAAACAGCCTCTAAAAATGAAACTACCTATAGCAATGCGGGGTCAGACATAGAGGCTAGCTTCAGGTTGGAGAGACACATCTTCCTAGACTGAAGTGTCCTCTGTAGATTGATTAACCCCATTTCTGCTTTTTCCATTCTGGAAGACTTAACTCTTCCACTTCAGAGGTAGAAGGTACCTAGTAGGACTCATGGCTTGTGAAAACTGCCCTTCCGTCACCTTCCCTAGGTGTGGACACTGCAAAAGGCTTGCTCCAGAATATGAGAAGGCTGCCCAGGAGCTCAGCAAGCGCACACCTCCTATTCCCCTGGCTAAAGTCGATGCCACTGCTGAAACTGAGCTTGCAAAGAAGTTTGATGTTACTGGCTACCCAACTCTGAAAATCTTCCGCAAGGGCAAACCTTACGACTACAGTGGTCCACGGGAAAAATACGGTACTGGAACCTCTGCTTTTTCTTATTTTCTGAGGGCTTGACCACAAATGTTTTGACATATCTATAGGACTTGCAGACTTGTTAACATCATCACAGTGGTAGTTGGGGAAACCTGAAAAACTGTGCTCTCATACCTACATAGGCCAGCAGTATAAATTTGTCTCTAATCTTTATAACCTCTTAGGGTGGTACTGTAAGTTCCTTTTGATATAAAGTAAGTTAAATAAATGGTGAAGCAGTGGCAGTATGAGTAAATGGGGAGCCTTTAATTGCGCTGGAATGTGTCATAAGGGCTGATAAAGTGCTCAATATTAGGTTTTAATAAGAGGGAAGACTTAAGACTATCCAAGTAGAACTTTGGCTCATAGCAGGGTCAGGAGACAGTGAAGGGTCTGGAATTTCAGAAAGGATGGTTACTTGAAAGATCAGTTGATATCCATGGAACTCGTGCTTGGTCACCTCTTCTGAAACCAACCTGAAAGAGAATATCCAGAACTGCAGCTTTAAAAACTTGGACTGAGGTCTTGCTGATTTGATCTTTTAGTTATTGTGGGAGGGCTGCACAGAAAGAAAGGTGTCCATGGGAAATGTGGTATTAAACAATGTCGTAGAGGGAACGCCTGAACCTTTCAGTTCAATAAATGTTCTAAGCAACTTTTGGGGGGGGCGGGTTTGTCTCACAGGTATTGTCGACTACATGATTGAACAGGCTGGTCCTCCATCCAAACAGATTCAAGCTACCAAACAGGTACAGGAATTTCTGAGGGATGGGGATGATGTCATCATCATTGGTGTCTTTAGTGGAGAGAATGACAAAGCCTATCAGCTCTATCAGGAAGCAGGTAAAGAATGTTTTAAAATATCAATGAAATGTATGTTTTGTTGAGATTCTGCATGGAGAGATCCTTTATTTCTGCTCTTAGTTCAGTGGGGGAGGTTGGAGAGGAATAAGAGGAAGGAGATTGAAGGGTGATCTTCCACTTCTACTTAAGAAAAAAGCTCACACCAGATTTTGAGGCTATAACTAAAGTTTCAGCCAGTCACAGGAGATACCTCCTCTTGGTATTGTGTCCCTAAAAACATGCGAACTAGAGAGGAGGGAAAATTCCTAGTTGAGGAACAAATCTTGGCTTAAAGCCTTGCTAGCTCTGCCATCTGCTATTGCGTGTTTCATATTTGACAGTTCCAGAGGCTGGGCTCTGCCAAACTTGTTTGGGATGGGGGGCCTGGAGAAAGAATGATCATCCACCTCGATCAGTTTAGCTAGACCATTCCTGGCAATCTTTATTCTTAAAGACCCCTTTGATGTGACACTTTGACAGTCCTGTTAACGATATTTGCTACCACACAGAAGAGGCTAAGCACTTGAAGTGCTCAGTCCCTTTAATCAGTCCCTGTGTCTCGCATGATTGAATCACTCGCAGCCACTCTTAGTTTCTGCCAGGGCCTTGAGAGCAGTGTGGGCAATTCTTCTCCTCCTGGCTATGCCTGCTTCTGGGGCTGCCATCGTTTATAGTTGGATTAGGAGCTGATTTGGTTGCTCCAGCATGGCAAGATAGAGAACTGTTTCCCAGACTGCCCCAAAGCAAATAGATTGACTAGGTGACCTTGTGAGTTCCTTTCCAGCTCTACTTTCTGTTATTTGGGGGGAAGCCAAGAGGTAGGAGACTGATAAACAAATAGCTGTTTCACTGTATATGTTTTGGAAGCTGTTCAAGGTTTTTGAATATGTAGAATAAATCATCAAGTAGATGGGTTGTTGAACAGCATTCAAGTAGTGCTACTCGAATTGTATGTATTTTCACATGCTTCTCACCCCTGGATGAGAGTTGTTCTCCAAGACTCTGGGTTGTTCCGTGTCCCATTAAGAATGGGAAGAGAGTTTCCTTGCAGTGCAGTCTCAAGATTTCAGTCAGAGGTTGTCAGTTCACTTCTTGATTTTTCCCTTCTCCCTAACCTTAATTTTTCAGCTAATGGTTTAAGAGAAGATTACAAGTTCCATCACACCTTCAGCAACGAGATTGCAAAACTATTGAAAGCATCTCCAGGAAAACTGGTTGTCATGCAGCCAGAAAAATTTCAGTCAAAGCACGAGCCCAAGATGCATGTTTTGGATCTTAAAGTGAGTAGCTGATCCAAAGCTAGAAAGTTTGTGTGTGAATTGAAGGTTCTCTTTCTTTGTATATATGAGCAGTTGGCATCTTCCTGTTGGAGGTACTCCACTAGATACTTGAGGCAACCTGTTTGTCCCCTGAAACTGTATTGCTTTGTTCGAGAAAGCTTTGAAATTAACCCAGAGGTTAAGTATTCAAATAATAATGTACCATTACAATATTCAGTTTAAGGGTAGAATACTAAATTATCTTTAGTGCTCAAGGATTTGAAGATATGGTGACAGCATTGTTTATAACATGCCCCTCTTTCTCATTCATGAATGCATCACTATTAGTTTTCAGTAGTGTGTAACAGAAATGCCACTTAAATCCATTTGTCTGAACTTTCTTCCCAATTTTTTTAAGCAGGACTCTACAGATGGATCGGAGACTAAAGAGCATGTTCTAAAACATGCTTTGCCTCTAGTTGGTCATCGCAAGCCTTCCAATGATGCTAAAAGATATGCTAAGCGTCCTTTAGTGGTTGTCTATTATTCTGTAGACTTTAGTTTCGACTATCGTGTTGGTAAGTTCGCTAAGATTACTATTCCTCCACTTTGGGAGGAAGCAAACAGTAAGTAACTAGAAATTACTAATCCCATTGTGTTCTGGTTTCTCAGCTACCCAGTACTGGAGAGGCAAAGTCCTGGAAGTGGCCAAAGACTTTCCTGAATATGTGTTTGCTGTTTCTGATGAGGAAGATTATTCTTCTGAAATAAAAGATTTGGGCCTGCTTGAGAGTGGAGAGGATGTCAATGTTGCCATTTTGGATGAAGGTGGCAAGAAATATGCCATGGAGCCAGAAGAGTTTGACTCTGACGTACTCAGGCAATTTGTGCTGGCATTCAAAAAAGGTACGGTTTCTAAAATAGGGTTCTCTAAGCTATTTGCTTTGTTTCTCCTTCCAGGAGTTTTTCCTGAGGCAATGGCTACAATAAAGTCATACGTGCAACCTTACAGTGCTCTGTGGCTTAAAGCTTTAGGATGTTTCTTGCCTTTTGTTTTTTTTAATCTCAGTTCATTCACTCTGTTGCTTGAACTATGCTGTGGCATCTAGCTATATTCTAAAACTGAGCGGTTTTGGCAAGTCTAAAATGTTCTTGCAGCTTTGAAGTGTGAGCTGATCATTCATATTTGGGACTAGTATAATAAATCACTGCCTAATACATTGTGGATGGACAGCCATAAAAAGAGGGAGAAAGGTTCTAGGGAACTGTGAAACAAATTGTTGCCCATATTTCACAAAGTTGTTGTGCTAAAAGGTCACCAGCAAGCTAGCCTATGTTTCATGCAAAGGTAAGGTCATTTACTGGCACTTTTCCCTGGTGGGAGGATGTACTTCTGCCCTTTCTTGGGGGAGATCGTAAGGACTGCTCTTACTGTATTCTAACAATAGTATGTGTTTTGCTTCCTTCTAGGAAAACTGAAGCCTATTGTGAAGTCCCAGCCAGTGCCAAAAAATAACAAAGGGCCTGTGAAAGTGGTAGTGGGTAAAACTTTTGATACCATAGTAATGGATCCAAAGAATGATGTTCTCATAGAGTTTTATGCCCCATGGTGTGGACACTGCAAGAAACTAGAACCAGTGTATACCGAGCTAGGCAAAAAATACAAGAATGAGAAAAATCTAGTCATAGCCAAGATGGATGCTACTGCCAACGACGTGACGAGTGACCGCTACAAAGTGGAGGGATTCCCCACTATTTACTTTGCTCCGAGGGACAAGAAGAACAACCCTATTAAATTTGAAGGCGGGGACAGAGATTTAGAGCATTTGAGCAAATTTATAGAGGAGCATGCGACAAAACTCTCCAGAACAAAAGAAGAGCTTTAGATAAGATGAGGGTGGTGAAGAAAAATTGTTTGTACGCTGTAGTTAAAAGCAAGTTACTGACAAAACTTCGTAAGAGAAGAATTAAGCAGTTTGAGCAAGGAGATTCTTGAGCAGTAAAGCAATTGCAGTATCTTTTTTTATATGGCAGAAGTTTTTCTGGACACTAAACTTCTCTGATATGAATGTCTTACGTTAGTTATGGTTTTGATCTTTGGAGAAAAATACATCCTTTATTTTTTGTGACTATCTTAAGCTTGATTCTTTGACTCCAGTGCAACTGTTGTGGGGCTTTTTTGTTTTGGTTTTTTTAAGTTAAAAGATATTACCAAAAAGAGAGGGAGAACCAAAAAACTCTGCCAAACAGACTTCTTTCTCTTACTTGTTGGTATCATTACTGGGGGGAAGGGTGTTTTGAGCCAATCTCTCTTCTGTTATATTTCTGTATACCTATTCACGTGACTATATCACTGTATTCATTGCTGAGGGTAAGAATGGAGGTTTTCTAAAGCGTGGATGAATTATTCAGTCCTACTGAGATAAGACACAGTGACTTGCTAACTAAATGTACTCTAGACCTGTCTGCTTTTGCTTTGTGCCCCTCTGTAGAGAGGGTGATGCTAAAATAGCAAGTTTTTCTGATTTACCTCTCTTTACTAGTCCATATTGGCCCATTTATATCTTAGTCTTCCCAAGTATATTTTGGAGTAATTGGAGTGTGGTAGAAAGAGCATCTAGTGGGTGGTAATGCTTGGATTCTGGTATCAGATCTGTGTTACCATTTCCTTTCCTTTTGCAGAGAGGAAAGTGGTAGTGATTCTTCTTTGGGGAAGCAGACCGAGACCTTCTGATGGACTTTATTCCTGTGGCAGTTACTGCAGGTACAGAGGATGATCACATCTCTATGCTCCACTTGGCAATATGTGCATTTAAAAGTGGATTTTCATCTTGAATGTCCCAGTTTAGATATGTCCATAAATTTATGGGACATGTTTGGGTGGCACACTTATATACTCCAGAAGCACTGTCTGCCTCTTCTCAGAGCTGTGATGCTGCAGTGTGTGCGACTTGAGTGTCACTGAGGCAGTTTTGATACCTATTTCATGTTAGGGGTAGTGCTTCTCTCCTAGCAGTACTGTCTTCTGTCTTGCAAAAGACAAATATCATCAGTCTCCAGCACTTCCTTGTTGTATTAGTTTTCAACTTTTTGGAGGGTGTGGAAATCTAAAACCACCACCCAATCTTTTTTCTTCTGGGGAGGTGCAGTCTTCTGTGTAGTAAGGGTAAACTCATGTCCAGGAGGTGGCTGTTAAGTTATAGTCTAAGGACCCAAAAGGGCCAGCAAAGGGGTACGTAATCCTTATCCTTTCCTACTGCACTTTGCATCACTGTTGAAGGGACGTGCCTCCCTGCTGTCTTAACAGAGGACTGTTCCCCACTGACTGTTAACCATGCTTCGCTGTCTAGGTTGTAATTGAATTGTTCTTGCAGAGGTGTATGCAACTGCATGAAGGCTTTTTCCTAATTAACAATTTATCTGAAGCTAGTGAACAGAGCTTACCAGCAGATTATGAAAGAAGGGGACAGTATCAAATCTCCACGGAGTGCTGGGGTGTGCTTGAATGCCGATCAGCTCATGTTATTTATCACCAAAAGCTAGGAAGTGCTAAGCAACTATTCAGAATCAGATCTCAACTGCTGCTTTGTGCTAAAGCAGTGTAATAATTTGCTTCAGGCCCTGGCGTTGTCAATCTCTTCTTTTCATAGTAGAAGGCTTTTTGTCTGCTGTCCTTTAAATGTACAGGTGTGTTAAGCTTAGGCAATATTTCACCTACAAGACTCTTACCAAGTGCATTATCTTCCCATCACTTGCCATTTCTGTTTGCAGATTTTCTGTAGAGCCTTCGAAGGCCGTGATCTGTGATTAAATGTCTGCATAGGCAACAGGACTGAGATCAGACTTAGCTGAGTGCCAGCTTACATTAGAGGTGACTTTTTTCAGCTTTAGAAAGTATACATAAGCCAAGTAGCAAGTTCTGTCCTGTCTGCCATTTGAGGTCAACTCAGTTCTTCAAGAAGTAGGCACAGATGTTTTTAAATCTGTTCTTAAACATAGTTCAGTTTCTGTCTCTAAGCAAATACCTCATGTAATACTGCAGGGAACTAAATTGCTCCTGCTTACTAGTTAGTTGCAGGCTTGTAGGGATGTTGTCTAACCAACACGAGGACATGGATAAATAGGGAACGTGTGGAAGGGATGGTGAAAAGTCCCTTATTGGTGGTGGGAACTACAGTCAGGGCTGAAGCTCCATTCTTCTCGGGACAGTAAGTGTCAAAGTTGATTGGTTTCTCGCCTTTCTTCTTGCAGGTGCTAACTTACTAACATTGTCATTGCCAATGCTGTGCTGTTTCTGTAGACTTCTTCCTCCCAGCAGGAGCTGACACCACTCTGGGTTGAAAACAATCTCTCCAGCCTGCTGGGAGCCCTCATGGCAATCAAAGGCACAAGGCCCAGGGGAGTGTCCGAGGTGTTCTTGCATGGCACTCCTGCTGGCTTTCTTTTCCCTGCCTTTGCAGGTGGAGGCAGCTTGGTACACATTACTTTGGGGCTGTGCTCAAAGACCTAAATTTTGTTCTGGAGGAGCAGTGCTTTAGTCAGAGCTGAATAAGGAAGAGGAATATGGTAGCTGTAGTATTGCTAACTTAATTTCTTGACAACTGTGAGCTGCAAGAGCAGGCAGTGTTACCTCAAGTAGGTTATGGGTTTGGGTTAAGAGCAGTAGAGGGAATGAGGAATTGATCCATCCTTACATTGGTGTTTTCTGGCTGCATTTCCTGCGAGTCCTTGACTACGCCATACACTTTGGCATCTGCACCCCATAATTGATGTATTTATTTTGATCACTTCCCAGGAAGATGAAAGAGTACTGTTGCCTTTCAGCTTTGGGCAAAGTCATACTGGAAAGCAAACTGCTTTCCTTAGCTCCGGTATCCTATCCCCTGCTGAGTGCAACATCACATCAACTTTGTGAAACTCACTGGGATGGTGACATCATTAGGCCTCTGTTAGATAAAGCTCTCTACCTGAAAAGTGATTTTCATGTGATTGATACCTCTTAAGGGTAACGGGTCATACCATCTTTTGGAATTTCTATTAAATGCATTATGCATGTCTGCTTTTCCCTTCCTGATGCGTTAGGATGCATTCCTAAGCATCCTGAACTCCATTACCTAAGTGCCACTGATTGGCTTTGGTGTTCCCTTCCTACAGAAGGAAGAAAATAAATAAATTGCATGCAGTGTAAAAGAACAAGGGAGCCCCCCTTACTTGCTCCTACCCACAGCTGCGTGAGCATATGGCATCACTTCTGATTATACTTCCAGTAGAAGAAAGCTTGCAGTTCATGCTTCAGCACAGGACCAGCAGTTCCCAGGTAGGCTCCAAGGAGCCTGGCCTGGTGTACATATCTCCCACGCATGCATCCTCCAGAAAATAAAAAATCTTCTGTAAAGTGCAGTACATCTCAAGTACATCTCAATACTTAAAGACTTCTTCAGGGCCACTTCCTTTCCCTGAAGGGTCAAGGACTAAGGTAAGCAGCAACTCTAGCACAGTCTGTGCTCCCTGAGGAGTGAGTTCATCTGTTCTCTGTCTGTGGGACATTCAAGGTGACAGTAAATACTGGCTTGGGATCTTGATACTGCATTAAGTGCTAGCTTGTTTAGTACTGGAAGGGATTGATAACATGTGTCTTCGCCATCAAGGTTATTACTTGGTATCTACCTGAAACAATTTTATATTTCAAAACTGTTAATTGTGGTGATGCCTGGGTATGGCCCAAGATCTGGTTGGTAGCAAGCAAGCAAGGCGCTGCAGATCCAGAGACTATTCCACAAAGTTTATCTTCCCTCTTGTACATGAGGCTATGAGAGGAAATGGGCTTCTGAAAAGTAAAACACGTATAAGAATATATGATACGGGTTAAAGGCTTTTCAGAAAGTAGCATTAACTGTAGTGGTCAGACTTCTGTCCTTTCCTTTGTGGTAGGCAAGAGAAACCACTGCAAGCTGTCCATGCTCCAAAAGGCTTTTTGGTCACAGCCTGCATTGGAACTGGACAAGGGTCAGAGGATTGAGTACTGCAGTCCTTACGCTCATGGGGTAAGGTAATGATGTGGGGTAATGACTACATCAAGCCCTGTGCAAACAAGTATATAACCCACTTAGTCAAGGTACAGAGCCTTGTATTTGTTAAGCTATTTGGCTTTGGTTTGCTGTACTTAAGTTGCAAAACTCCCTTCTCAGTGCAGAGCAGGTGTGGTGGGATCTGTGAGCAACCCTAACCAAAGGCACTGAAATGCTGTAGCATTTTGCTTAAGTTGCCAGGCACTTCTGAGACTTCAGCTAGTAGTGCTGCACAGCTTGAAGTACAGAGGTGTTACAGGAATCGCTGCACATCACTGCAGTGCATTTGTCAAGGGAGGGCTCCTCCTCTTTTCCTGCCTGGACCTGTGGTAGGTTGCATGAAGCCATGCAGCCATGGGCAGGAGAAACGTTTTCCTGGCATGTGCAACCTGTCTTGGCATCTGTGCCCAGAATCCTACAGAGCTCACAAGTCAGCTTGTTTTCTTTCAACTTCTTTGGAGGTTGCTCTGCACTGAAGCCAGCTCCTTTAGACATGGCTGTGCGTGCTCTGAGGCCACAGACTGATGTCATGTTAACATTAGTGCTGGAGTTTCTATGCCGTGAACAGCTGCCTTTATATGAAGCCACTGTGCTGTTACCTGAACCTTTGCAGCATTGCTTTCTGCACCATTCCTGAATGTCTGAACAAGCTCTGTACACACCATGAAATCTAAATTATCATGTCTTTGCAGAGGCTGGGTGAGACTACTTGGGTCTAGAAGGACATGGCCATTCTCCAGTTTCATTTTGCTTGCCATTTCATTTCTGCATATAGAGAGGAAGAGATCTGCTCTGTGAATTACCATGAATCCTTACCTTAGAAAGGGGAAGTTTCAGTTTCAGAAATGCTGTTTGTTCAAATCCCAAGCTGTGTGTGGCTTGATTAACAAAAAGGTAAACGAGATAAAGCTATGTTTTAATCCAATCATGTAAAGAAAACCGTTATCACAATCAGTAACCCAATCCTCTGATGGATTTCAATATGCTGGGGTTTTGAACAGCCAGTTGTTTCTTCACAGTGAAAGCTGATGCTTGTCAGCCTGCTCTTGATTAATGCCCTCGTA